AGTCGGGTGCCGCGTATGGGGTTGGAGAACCCCAATACCCTTCAGGTGCTGCTGTTTTCACGGGGGGGGGGAGGAGGGAGCGAACTAACCCTAACCCTAACCCGTTCCCTGCCCACTTCCACACTCTAATTCTACACACCCCACGAAAAACCTTATGCAATCTTAATGCTGCTGTTTCAAATCGTTTGTCTGAGTCTTGACTGGGTTTCACGTTTCCTCCCTTTTAAAAAAGCGCTCTGCATAGATGTCCTGTCAACAAGTCATTAAAAAATGCTCGTGACCGAGAGGTTTTACTTGCTATGAAATACCAAAAGCCTCTAATTGCCTCGGCCGTTGGAACAAAGCACCTCCGGCTTCTGAAGCGGTAGGTTTCAATTATTCGCATCGCTGGCTCCGGTTCGTCTCAATGCGCAAAAACACTTGCTTCGTTGCAGTAGAAGAGATCCTTGATAACAGTCCAGTAGTATGAGCGCAGCTGGCTTTGGGTTGGCGGGCTGACGGGGTTCTGCTAAAAGATCGCATTCCCCACCGCGGATGTTGCCACATTGTATGAGGTTTTTGTGAACACATTGTTGTCATTTATTTAATGTCCTGATCACAAAAATCTGAGATTACGGGGTTGCCAGCCGCTTCAGTGAGTTGTTCCGTAAGCATAATGTAAAAACCTTTAACATGGGGCACTGCAAGTGATTCATTCACTACGTTTTCCGTTTGATCCATATATTGACGCATTGCTCTTACCTATTGAAACCAAGCAATCGGTATATGGAATAAAAAGATCTTTGACACCTATTTCATGCGCCTCCCAAAAAACTTTTATTTAGCTTAGCATAAACTCAAAATCAACAAAGAGAGGCACTAATATTGAACTATTGCGTTAACATAATCAACCCCCTCTCCATTCTATTCAAGGGATCCAAACAGAAGCCATAATCTGGCCAACGCGTTGTATTCAAATAAATTATAGTAAATTCAAATGACTTAGGTTGTTTCTAAAATATCAATATTTGCGTTTTCCTATCTGTATTGTAATATTGAAGAAAGTTAAAGATTTTAATAGCCACAAATACATTTTGATATATCCATATGGATAAAAAATAATTTAACGTGACTTGTTTGCATAACTATTTTACATAAACCCTAAATTTTAATTCATCATTAATTATGATATCTAAAAAAAAATTCCATAATAAATAAAAAAGTTTCATTTTTTTCATCGTTTAATGTACCAATAAAATAAAGTAAATCCCGCTAAAAATTAAAAAGTTTTATTGCTTTTCAACGTTTGTTATACCAGAAAGATAAAACAAATACCACCAAAAAATTAAAAGTTTTATTGCTTTTTAACGTTTATTGAACCAGAAAAATAAAACAAATAACACACAAAAAAATATTTTATTCCATTTTACCTACTTAAGTATTCTAAAAACAAAGACAAATTAAGTTAAGATTTCCTTAGATTTAGTTTTTGAAATAGACAACATACGTAAAGCCACTTGCTTTTCTTCTCCTTCACCATTCTGATTTACCCCAGTAAAGGTAATAAACGAGAAACATTTATAGGGTGTTGGTGAAGTTATACAGGTCCCTCAAGTGGCTGAACCTAGTTCCATATGTTGCCCATCGAAAATACTTGAATGTTAGCACTGACATTAGCATCACCCGTATTAAGGGTGTAGAGTCCAACACCGCTGTGAGCGACTCCATCGGGGATGTACACACGGCCGCTGATGGTCTGAAGACCGTCGTCCTTAAACACCTCAATGACACTGCCATCAACAAAGATACGTAGCTCCAACTCGGTGTTTGATGCCAACGGCGCACGACCGTGCAGTGGAAAGTTGTAGCCAATGGTACCCGATTTATTACGCTCCAGGTAAAGAATAGGCTCATTAACGACACCGCTGGACGCAACCTTATTCGAAGTAGATACCTTAGAATTGTAGTCCCAGTACAGTGAGCACTGCATCATGTCTTTATTTTCCGTTTCATCCAGAGCCCACGACTCACAGGTGCGCTCCTTTGCGCATTCCTTACTGCAGTTCATCTCGGCTTCCTTGTCATTCTTGATGGAATAAATCTTAAATGCGGTGTTCCGCCCTTCCAGGTAGGTGCATTCATGGCAAACATTTGACTCAGGCGTTGCCGCTGGCATCCTCAGTTTCACAGTTGTGTATTCCGATCCATTGGTGTTAGTGCGGATGCGCAAGCCCACCTCAGGGGCGTTTTCCTTGGTGTATCCCTTCGTTCCATCAAAAAGGCTTGCGGGAAAAGTGAACTTTGCAATAATCTCCTGATGTATCGTCACTGCCTCAAACGGAGTCAGAACAGTACTGGCAATGTCAGACGAAAGCACCAGCGTTTTGTTGAGGAGGCGCGCCCTGCGTAGAGCTTTCAATTCAGGAATCGGTGGGTACTTAAGACGCTTCTGCTTCTCATCGTAGGCGATTCCACGTAGAACTTGCACGCCAGCCCATCCCTGAACCTTCAGATTCTGCGTTTGCTCCATCTCCTCGGGAACCCAGCCCCAAATCATGCGCTGCTTCAGGATTGGGTCGTAGAAGGTTTTGGACGCATAGTAAGGCCCAAAGTCAATGAACGTGTTGGTGCGGTCAGTGTCCTCAACGTAAACGTACTGGTCCTTCGCTTCGTTTGGCTGGTAGTTGCCGTAAACGATGAATTCACGGCGTGCTTCCATTGTTGAAAACTTCAGAAAGTACCCATTGGTGCTGTCCACAGTAAAGAAGTCAGGACACTCCAACATTGGTTCAAGGTGGTACGTGTAGAGGGTGTGCGAAAACTTGTAGCCGCTCATAAACGTGGGGTCTGCGGTGCGGAAGAGAACCACATGCGCATTGTCACCCTCATCATCCTTAACACGTGCAATGGCTGCAAGGAGCCACTCATCGGCGTGTGCCGGATCGGCCCACAACTCTGTCGGGTCACGAAAGTTGTTGAGGTAAACCAGCCCTGGAACGTCGTGTTCGCTTAAGACGGGGTTGACTGGGTTCTTCTCGAAGATGTCCAGCGTGCGTTTGCCCTTAAGATCGGCTTTGGATGGGCTCGCGGTACACACACGCTGGATGTCAGGCCTGCCTTGAGCAACATCCTCAGCGCCCGCATTCTCGACACAAGCATAAATGGCAACTGGGTCTCCCAAATGGTTGTTGATCATCGTGCCAGAATACACACCACGCAAGTCGTACCAGCGGTCATTGGTCATGGATAGGCTTTCGCTGCGTTTCCACTTGACGTAGTCATCCGAAGTTACATGATACCATGACATATCACCCCAAACGGCCCCGTGGGGATTGTACTGCATGTACAAGTGGATCTTGCCTGTGACAGGGTCTCGATAGGGGCCATTAGGGTCATTGATCCAGTGTTGAGGGACAAAAATATGGAAGGTAGGGTCATACGGAGTTGTGTCCGCATGGGAGAGTGTACTAAATAGTACAATAAAAATTAAGATGATTGCGTAAAAATTCATTATTTAGATTATCTTTAACAGTATGAGTTTTTTCTTTGGTCAGGGAAAAGAACACAGGGAGAAGGAGAGATAAATTGAAAAATGGACTGTTGATATGGTCAATTTTATTTTATTCTTATCCAAGCAAGAAAAAGAAACGAATGATAAATACACTCTACCCATTCGGAATGTGAGGATAATTTTCTCGAACAAAACAATGATAAATTCAGCCCATACAGATAAGCAACCTTATGGGAAAAGGAAAGAATGGATCTAAACTAACTAATTAACGTGACAAGCAAGAAGTAAATAATGAAACGTACTTTGCGCAACTAGAAGCACAGTTTTCTTCAGTGGTTCCTCGTGCGCAGTTTAATTTATAAGAAAATTTGCTAATGTTTTTGGAATATATCCATGTCATCAGAAACAAGATCCTTCGCTTTATCCCGCAGTGTCAAACTCGCGCAGACTTACAAGATGACCGACAACTGCCCATTCTCAGATGCCCTCACATTATCGCAAAGATGGCTTCTCCAAATGTGCGCACCCTTCCAGGAAGTGAGAAAGGTACCATAAAGAGGTGATCAAGCCTCAGTCATCGATCCCTTTCCAACACCCAATTCACAAATCTCGTATGAATGTGCACATTTTTTATCAAGAAATCTCTCTTGGTCTTGAATGATTGACAAACACGATTCGCAGATAATGGAACTCAAGGATGGTGCTCCAATTCTCAGTTTCCTTGGATCTGGAAAAAAAAAGCCTATCAAAAACGGCGACATTCGCTACAGTTGCCCTTCGTAGAAAAAACGGTAGCATCGTTATTTTTGATTACTAACTCAAAATTATACACTTTATCAAGATAAAAATATTGAAACATAATATATATGCATACGTATATGCTCAGATGAATATATGGTTAGTAATGTACCATTTTGGTCAATCAAATTTTCCCAGTCGCTTCAGTAATAAATA